TTAATTGGTTACATTCTTCTGCACTTGACTGTTTCTCTATCACAAGGAAGTTACACAAGTCTTTTCCAGCACATCAAACTTTGCATGACAATTTTAAGATCAATAGAATCAGCGACAAGCAAGTTTACCGCTAACTCAAATATGCAAATTTGGTAGAATGAAATTCGATACTCGCACTGTCTGATCGCATGACAAGGTCCTGATCTCTTTGCTTTCTTCCTGATGCAGTGAGAGAAAGTACAGTTATATTTCCCATGCAATCTTGCATTTCATTTGCCTGTGGCCAAGAACTTTGTCAACAATTTCTTCGTGACTTGAGTACATAAGGAATTTACTGATCTGTTGTAGAACTCAACAGAAAAGCTGAAAATACATGAAACTTAAAATTTGTTCGTGACTCGAGCACATCAGGAATTTGCATATTAAGGAATTTGCTTTACCTGTTATAGAATTCAACAAAAAATACATGACACTCACAAAATTTGGCAAACTAGTGAAAAAAACTACTTATCTGTTCCCTTCAATAAGAGATAGCAATATTTCCAGGGGTGTGCAAAATGTTTGGAAATTCCGGAGGGGAGGGGGAGTTAATTTTGGGGCCAATTTCGGAAAATCCAGAGGGGAAGGGGGGTCATACAGAAAATCCCTTCCGTGGGGAGGTATGGATATTTTCTGGAACCACACAATAATATGGACGTATACAAAACATGGACCGCGGTTCATGGACCACCCCATGGACCGGGTCCATGGACCACCCTTAATTTTTTAAAAAGGAGATCGCCCCTTTTAATATGAAAATTTACCGGAGGTCAGGGTACGAAAAACACTGATGCGTATTTATTGTGCCCCCATAAATGGTAAGACCATAAACTCATTTTGAGATACAGAAGATTGAGTGCATTTCTACCCCCAATATTTTCATTCCAACCCTTCCAAATTGCAATTCGATCGGGAAGACACCTCTACCATACTTATTATACTCTATCGTGCATAAAAATAAGCCAATTTATTCTATAAGCGAAGTTTACCCTACACAGACAAATTTGTAATCAAGGTATATTGATGAAAAAGTTTAATGGATAGCTTGTAATTTTAATGAGAGAGCACAGAATCATTTAGTTTCCACATTAAATTTGATGCATTTTGCGAAAACTAATTTGGCATCGGACTTTCAAACATGAATGTTAATTCAATTAACCCCAAAATAAATTATTTCATGCCTTGTTTGTGCTGCATATAGTAGATCATGAATTTTACAGAAAAAAGGTCCAGTAAAATAGATTACATAATCTTATACCCTGATTTTTGTGTTGTTATCAAAGTGTTGACAATAAATTTAAACTGGCAGAAAACATGACAAGGAATTCTCGCACACGCGGTTTCAATTACGGTCAAAAGGGACTTTCAAGGTGGCAGTTTGAGTTCCTGTTAGAAGGAGGACCGTAGACACAACGGAAAAGCTTTTTAGGATTAGTTAATGTACATTTATTTTTGACTCCATGGCCCACAGGTTACGGTTTTCGCCCTGTGCTCCTTGATTAGTCTGTAGCATTCAGTTGATTTCTCTGCGATTATATAATTTATATAGCGCCTTATGCAAAAGTTCTAAAGCGCTTCACATAAGAAATAGACAATAGAATAATAAAACCTACAATACCTAGGAGATAGAATGACATTTAAAGAAAAAAGTTTTTAGAGATGACTTAAAGGTGTCGACACCGGGACTACGCCTAATATAGCTTGGAAGGAAGTTCCACACCTTTGGGGCACATAGAGAAAATGCTCGTTCTCTATAAGTTTTCAGATATGAAGAGGAACTTGAAGCTGAAATTTTGATGAAGACCTTAACAATCTAACAACCTTTGCCAGGGGCTGTATAAGTGCAGAATATTACTAATGTAACAAGGAGCTAAGTTATGAAGAGCTTTAAAAGTTATTAAAAGTAATTTAAAAGTAATACGGTGTTTAACAGGCAGCCAATGAAGCTCCCTTAGTACTGGCCCGGTGTGGTGGAACTTGAGGCCACCCAAAATCAAGCGAGCTGCGTAGTTCTGAACAAGCTGTAATTTACGTAAAAGGCCGCGAGGTAGACCATATAGTACTGAATTACAATTGTCGAGTCTTGAAGTAATAAAGGCATTAACTAAAATCTTATGCTCGATAGATAAAAATTTCCTAATACGATAAATATTACGAATATTAAAATATCAGGAGTTGAAAATATCTGTAATATGGCGCTCAAAGTTCAGTACATTGTTGAACGTGACACCAATGTTCCTGGCGTAATTGGATGGAACAATCACAGAGCCACCATCAAGTGCACCGGGTGGAAACTGCAAAGTAGGCGTCAACTGGGATCCAATGATCAAAGAGTTCAATGTTATCACTTCAATTTATTTAACGAAATCCTGGAAGAGTTATCCGACAAACAGGCTTAAACTGCGAGAGACCACCGACATACGGCAAGAAGAATCAAAAGAAAAAACAAAAGAGAAAAATGAAAGATAAAAAGACAGAAGACCGCCAGGGAAGATAGGTACCTGCATATACACAAACTTAAGTACCGCCTTTCCAGATGAGTTGTCGCGCATTGAATACAAAAAGAGGCTTTCTCTCATTCTGAAATCATCAGGCCTGTTGTGTTCGATAAGTCTTACAAGGCCCCTAACTGAGCTTTCTCACTAGATGTCGAGGAAACAAAATCAAACTAATCACAACAGCCAATCACGAAAGAACAGTTACACATGGAGCCAATGAAAATTGAGACTACACAAAGGTAGCCGACCTTCAGCACGAGAAAATACGGGTGGCCAAGTCACGATTCCTTTTAGTTTTGCATCTGGTTAATCGAGATAGTGGCGTAATTTTCCTTGACCAATCACAAGTCAACTGAATAGTACCTCACCGTAACCCATTCACGACACACAATATTGTTTGCCAGACGGCCAGCATAATAATTTAATGAATACCACATAAATATTTCAATGTGCACACTTTTCAAAACTTGTGCCTGCTCAAAACAGACATCAACGTTAGCTGGGTTATTCGAACAGAAATGTAAAAATACTTTAAATAGATATCAAAATACTTCTTTACTGTATTTTGCTCGCTCACAACCTAAATCCTAGGGGGGGGGAACAAACTTCTGTACTTAAAACATGAACAAAAACACCCGTACTAAAGGGGACAGTTTGTTTGATCAGTTCGTAACTGTAGTTGTTAATACATATGTTTCTATTCATGTTGCCCATTTATTTGTTCATCTGTCCACGTCTCTCAGAGAGTTTTGTCCTTTGACTGATCTTTCTTCTTTCTAATTCTTTTTCCTTTTTTTAAAAAACGTCCTTTGAACTTTTAGTTTACCCAAAAGGTAAAATAAAATACGACTTAAACTGAATAAATATATTTCAAAACAGTCATTGATACAATAAACCACCGATAACAGCCATGTTCAATAAAATCGGCGATAAATCATTTCAGTTCAGAACCAATTCATTTCGCAAATCAACAGCAGCTCTATGGCTTGGGAAATATATCAACAGGAGGATGATCATCTGTCTGAGAGTTTTGTCTCGTTATTTCTTCATTTATATCTAACAAGTAACGGTCTATAAATGTTTCCAAAACTAAGGGTAAGTTAAGGAATAGCTTCAAGTTTTCTTTGCTTGGCGTGGAGAAACCAGAATCTATCACAACCGTTTTGTTAGCTGGTCACACGAAACCTTTTAACTAGCAATTTGCCTGAAAGCCATTTCTCTTTTCAAAAATAAAACAAAACATTTGGTCACTCTGTCACTTACAAGAGGAAAATAAAGCTTCGAAGCATTGATATTCAGTGGTAGTTATTGACTGGCAGCTATTCCTGTACACAATTGGGTTTATATTGGACAGACTTATAACACAAAAGGATACGTGGATGATTAGAATCCTTCTCTCCAGTAAGACTGACGTAATGTAGGCCATTGTAAAACCAGCCAGGAGGCAGTGGATCAAATTTGTGCTTCGCCTGAGCATAAAACAACAGCGATTTAAAAGTATCGAATGCAAATCAACAAAGCTAATACTGTAATCTAAAAATAGCTGCTATCTAGATATCACGACTTACATTTACTAAGCGAAGGTAAGACAGGAAAAGAGTTAGATGACGGGAAAAGAAACTATGTATTTATCCCCGAATGACCCAATATAATGGATGTATGTTACAGTAACTGACCAAAACTATAGGGTGTGATCTGAAGAGAGTCGCCACAACAGATGCAGTACACTCTTTTACGTGGTTAAGTTATGCTGACTATGTCTGGGTTGGTTTGAGAAGGAACTAGGAATATTTAACGCAATTATCAAACCGTCTATGGAGTGGACTGTGACCTTAGTATTTTACTTACTCCAATGTTGTTTACTTCTTTCTCTGACAGATCCTGGCGCGTTTTTAACTTTTGTTTCACTGGTGCCTACAATCAACACGTTTTGTTCTGTTAATGAAGACTAAAGGCGATAACCGACTGTAGCTATGACAATGAAACAAAGTGGATATCATATCCAGTCAGCCTGGTCCGACATTATCACTGAAGAGGATTGATAGAAAAGAAAAGTCACAAAGAAAGCTTAACGTAGTCTTAAAAAACGCATTTCTTGTCAAAATAACATTAGACTTTGCATTCAAAAGTGTGAGAGGGAGTTCTCCACCCAACCGTCGACACGATTTGATCCCACCTACTACCTGCCACACAGTTTATGTTAATCTTTGATCAAAAATAGACAGACAACTGTCTTAATTCTCATTGACAAAGCGATAAACAACAACAAATCACGTACAAACTTTTTACGGAGGGTTAAGAGTTTAGCACATATTGTGTTAAAGAGGAGGGCAGCTAAATTTTCACAAACAAGTTAGCAGGCATCACAGTTTTAGTGCGATAACTGACATACCGGTTTACAGCAGGTTCTGAGCCAGTCCTTTAAAACCTGTTCTTGAAGACTAAATCCAGTGAAAACAATCAAGTAGTCGTGGATTTCTTCGACAGTGCCGTTCTGTTGGCCTTTTGCTGAAGGGGGTCGCGGAATAGCAGAGCTGTCAACAGGGCTCATTTTTAGTACTCCATTGAGACGGGACCACTGAACGTGTACCCTTTTATAAGGACCTTCTTCTAGCAGAAACAAAAAAATAGAGAAGGTGCGGTGAACTGAAAGATCGAAAAATGTTTGTATCGTTACACTGATTCAATGATCAAAGAGAAAGAATGCTTTTATCTCGTTACCTGAGAAACAGACATGCCCCTGTAGACTGTGAATTGCCCCTATAATGGTTAAGATAAAACAGTAGTGATATTAGACCAATAAGCTTCAGGACAGCAAGAGAACATAGTACACAACCAGGAGACTGAACCAACCTGTTAAATGTATTTCCTTGGATGATATGGGTCCATGAAGCCCTATAAAAGAGAACAGTGAATTTTAAGGACTGTTAAATAATTCCCTTGTTTAGTAACTACATTATTTGTTCGTTCATTAGGGTAATTATAAGTTGAAAAAGACAAATGTGAACTGTGTTGCTAACAATGATAATCCATATGTTATCTGAATTGTCTTACCTTTAAGGTTAGAAACAAACCTCTGCCTGCTCAGTGGTCCATAGAATGTCACACCAATCTATATACAACAAAACCAAAAAATTCCCTTAGCTAAGTATGTTAAGAACACATTGATTTCCATCAGCTCAGTTCAAAAAACGGATTAGGTTGGCTTTACAGATTTACCGGTGATTGGAAATTACAACGAACACTCTTCAGTGTCCTCTATGTACACACCATATTTTTAGATGCACTGCGAACCTTCCCTGTTAAGAAAATCATTCAATTCCAACAAGTGCATTGTGATTTGTCCGGCAGTAACAGTTACGAAAAATATTTTAAATAGTACCTCGTTAATTTGTGGTTCTGTGATTCCAGTTAAAAATAAACCCAAAGACCTTGAGGATAAAAAAAGCTGTTAGTTAATACATGAAACTGTGCCAAAATTGAAAGATATTTTCGACAAAAGGTCCTTCATCCATGCCACAGGAAACCTCTCTATATTAAAATGTTTGTATAAAAAGGTAAATGTCTTTCAATTTGGAGTTCTTTGATCTTAGATTACCTACCAAACATACAGTAGCAAACAGGAACAAGCGAGTATCAATTACACTACTGATAAAGAAATGAAACCCAGGAGAGAGAAACGAAACATCCCTCGCACCGTAATTTGGTTGCCCCTATCTTGAGTAACTCACCAGCCGGGACACATTAGCTCTCTCTTCTGAACCATCCTGTCCTCGTCTAATGCAATGTCTGACAGAATTAATTCTACATCAGGTGTCCTACAAACATACCACAAACACTATCAGGCAGCTCCGGTCAAACCAGACTGTTACACATGGCTGAGAGAGATCTTTCTTCAGTAAAAGCATCTACAAACAGGAATCAAAGCTTTTGCCTACCTTGTAACTTCCCCTCCTTTGGCGAGAATAAAAGCCACATCTGGGTTACAAGCTCGCACCAGTTTCTGGACAAAGCTGAGCTGTTCATTCTAGAGAAAGACAAACTTCGTGTATTGCGGACCACAAACTTAACATAAATAAGATAGGTTGCATCAAATGATTCAAAAGATGTACAAGTTCCATTGGTAAGTAAAGTCTTACCTGAGGCTCCACACAGCTTGTAAACACAACATTGTTGACCCAGCCTGTTCATATATGAAAATTGTACAAGGAAAGTTCAACACATGCTGGCGTTCTTGTAAAAAATGGGACAAAAACCTAACTCAGACTCGTAGATGTGTGCCCGGCAGCGCCGTCTGATAATGATCTACAGTAATTCCACAAGTCCCCTTTAATGTTTTTGAGTGGAAAAAGCCTTTTGACAACGCTCGAGCATACAAAGAAAGCTGCCTTCGTTTCCAATTATGGCATGTGTCGATAGAGTTTACGCGCAGAACAATACAGCCACATGGTAATAACTGAATTTGTACGTCACAAACCTTGAGCGCACTGTTCCAGTAACCTAGGCAATGTCAATCTATTGAAAAAAACAAGACTAGCTTCTGACTTTTGAAAGTTACCAAGAACTGAGTTACCATACACTAAGTCTTCTCGTCCGTTATAGCTTCTTTGAAAGTCTTTCGTCGATGTTTTTATCAGAAAGGAATACCAAAACAGACAATCACTGTACAATGGGTTTCCTCACCTGTGCCCCATAAAGGTATTAAGCGGGTCCACGCAGCATGTGACAGCACCAATCTTGACACACTTGGACATCTCAGAATCAGGGTGAGTCCTTATGGCTTGAATAACCTCTGCTATATCAGTGAATCTTTCAACACAATCGAAACAGCTCATTATTCCCTCATAACTCACTACACTACACCCCCGATAACTTCATAGTATTACTTAGAGCGCCTCACCCTGGTGTGACCACAATAACTCGCAGTCGTCTACCACTGGCTGAGAGCCTGGCATGAAGGCGTCGCTGACTTGACAAAGTTGCGGTAAGCGATTCTTGTAAAACTAAACAATTCAAGAAGACAAAGTTGCGAGAAAACAGCTTCTATTGAAGGACCGCGTTCAAAATCTTTAGGAAGAGAAATAAAGTTAACGCAGTAAGACAATTTCGAGACGAAACAATAACGCTGTGCTCTCTTACATCCCACCCCCTCCCTTTTATGCCAACAAAATGATTGGTCCCGGATAAACAGGTTCAGTTTCAGGTTCAGGTCCAGGTTCCCCCTCCTAAAACTCTCTGTTATCGCACTCCGAAGTCTTACTCTGACATTGCAATTACAACCTAAATTCATTGTACTTTCCAATTTCAAGAACGAGGCGATGTTATTTCTCTCCCCCTGTTGTCAAAAGAAGACTTTTTTCGTTTGTTTCTCCGTTGTCAAAAGAAGACTTTTTTCGTTTGTTTCTCCGTATTGTAAGTGAAAAATTACCAACCAAAAATATCCAGACTGACAATACCATGCCCGGTAAGGATACTAGACAACACACCTTTAGGATCAAAAGCATCTGAATTACTGACTGGCCTCTTTAAGATTATCCACCTGTCATAAAATAAGAACCGTGTTCACGATCAGTAGACTGATAGCGTACAGGTCCTCACAGACGGATCGTAAAGACTTGACATACTTGCTGTTTTCCTTGGCAAGTGCTAAAAGAGCTAAACACAGAGACTCTTTACCGCTACCAGGTACACCAGTTAGGATGGTTAACAATAACTGCAAAACAAAAAACGCAGCTGATTCAAACTGAGTCAATGAAGTAAGTGAATAACTGCATATAGAGCTTCTTCTTGAATTTAGTGTTGTAATGTAAATCGCAAGCCTTTTTAAGACTTAATGCCTATATTGTGCTCAATGAATCATAACCATCACAACTGGGATCTTTCAAGTCTGGGGATCTCAAATGAAAAAAACAGAACAAAAAAAACAAAAAACAATTAAACGTTCCTTTACCTCAAAATCCCGAGACTGCTCCTGTTCTACGCGACTGTTTCCTAGAATCACAGGTAAAACGTCGCACATAACAGGCGTGTTACCAAACGAACTACTCACACAGCAATGACACAGGAAACTGAAATTAAACAAGGATAAAGTAATTTTACGTGATACATTACACCAGTGATTCGTAGCGCGCATTACATCAAGCAACTTGTAGAAGAACTATCCTCACCCTTTTAAATGCGGCAACAAAACTTCAGCTGTTGATAGATCCTGTATATCTGATCCGCTTGAAAGTTTTAGCTGATTTTGTAAATTCACGTGCCTAAAAGAATTGAACAATCACTGACATTTATGAATACTGGCACAGGAACTGAGCCCACTCGATGATCTACAGTGTACACGTACACATCGAAATGCTCCAAGCATACATGCAATTCTGAAAAAAAAATTCATACTCACTTTTCTTTTAAATCATCGGGCAAATCTGAAAGCGCGTAAAAAAAAAAAAAAGGATGATTTAAACCTTTACCTACCCGATGATTAAATGGGACACTAAAAAGAAAGTAATTTCGGAGAGTGGGAAAGCCTGTGGTTATTGGAGTAAGCCCGAGTAAAACCTCTTTACTAAGCTTAAAAGGAAAATCTCCGTTAATCGTACCGTCAATAGTTTCGAACTGTGGAAAGTTTGGCAGCTGTCTTTCCTTCCACGGGTGGCTCACATCAGAGTAAAACTGCCTGTAAATTCTGGAACGAGGCGTGAGAGCCAATACAACGTGACTTTGTTTCACTGTAAGGTAATAAGGTAGACTGTCCTTTGAACTGGGATGATATGTCAGGATCAGAAGAGCACAGGGCGTGTCCTACCACGAGGAAGTAAACACACATACCTTAATATCCCTCGCTAACAAGTTCCGTGAGAGAGGAGAGGAGAGAAAAGAAGAGTAGAGAGGCAACCAAAACAATGTTTACTTAAAACTATACCTTGTCATAAAACTGAAGTTTAGATATCTTGGATGTCTGTAACACAATGGAACCAACTCTGGGATGAACAAACACCAACCCTTGCTCAAAAATATATAGCGAGCCTGGAAATTAACAGTTCAGGCGTCACTATCTTCAGTATTGATTTATATCTCTATGTGGAATTCATGAAGGTCAAGTACATTTGAAGTAGTCATTTCAAAAGCATCTCACTTGTAACGGGAATGAAAAGAGTGATTTTATTTTAGAATAACTTTTGTAAGTCTTACGTTGACTAAGCACGTATGTATCCTTAATCTCAATCAGAAGTTCCGGGTCAAAAGTCACACATCCCTTACCCAAAAACAATAATCCGAATTTACCTGCTTCCCAACCGTTCACCAAACTTGAGATAAAAATTTGGTTACCACAAAGTAACTGTTTTCCTAAGACATCGCTGTCAGGTTTTGACTGTAAACAGAGAAAGAAATACACAGCTGAAGATGTTTAAGGTGTGTTTCTAATTATTTTGATACAAAAGTCCACGATTTAACAATGATAGTAATCAATTTAAAAAAAAAATTAAGTATACCAACTCATGCAATCGCTTTCAGTAATTGTCAAGTAAACATCAAAAAGTCACGTCGGTCAAAGTCACCTTAGCAAACGATTCTATCTCCTCGGATATCTGTCTGTCTTTGCAATTGCCCTGGAAGAAGAAAAAACACTTTACCTTAATTGTTGCCACTGGTCGAATTAATAAATCATAAAAACACAGTAATCACTTGTTAAGAACAAAGGAAATATCTAAATGTACCTGCCATGTAACAAATCTGAGGATGTTTTCTGTCAGGAAAACTAACGACGTGTCCCACAAGGGTGATCTGTCTGGAAAAGAAGGAAATTAAGGAAATAGTTTACTTTGAAACTCTCTTACACAAAACCACACCTGCTTTAACTTCCTGATTTAAAATTGTGTGAGGTGATTTGGGTTAAGCAAACATTCATTGTGTACCTGGGACAAGTATCTTTATAGCAGAGTCAAGGAAAGATTCACCAAACACCACAGAACCCAAAATTTGTCCTGGGTGCTCCACACTTGGTATGTCGTACAAATAAAGTGTTGCCTGAAACAACACATAAAAAAGCCATAACAATTCGGCCAGTGAAAACATCAAGAAGACAGGACAAAACAGAACGTAAGGAGATTGATCAATGTTATCAAAACATACATTGTACAGTGTACCTGAATCGAGGAATAACACATCCGCTACAATAAATAATCTAAGAATTACATGTAAACAGTCATTTTTTGAACATCTAAATATCAAAGCTTACTTTTTTAAAACCAGAGAGTGGTATATCCTCACGTAAATCAACACTCCTACACATGGGAGATATAAGGATCAAATAATAAACTTTAGGTGTGGGTTTAACTTCTTACCAGCGAACAATTTCGACAACAAAGAGTAATACGTACCTTCCATAATAATCACAAGCTTCAAGAGAAAATTTCACATTGTTGGATAAGAAGGAGGAATTCACTGCAATTTGCTTTTCATCCAAACCACGCTTGAGCTCTGACAGAACACTTGAGTAACTCTTAAAAGACACGACAAAATGGAAAAACAAAGATAAATACAGATTATTCCCTTTAAGATATTATGGTTACCTTCATGTTATTTACCTTTTGTTTGTTAAATGTTTCTGAATATGTCTTGACTCCTTCCACCACAACATTAATTGACAGAAGATAAAGATCCATTAGTAACCTAAAATGAAAAAGAAAAAAAAGAAAACAAGTGTTCAAGTGCTTTAACATCTACTGTTGGGGCATGTGCCAAGTCTAAAATGACCTACTACTGTTCATTAAGCTTGGCTGTTAAGAGCAAATGTGTCCAAAAATCGAACATTTTCAAAACATGGTGGCAACAGCCAAAATATCGATTCGGCTCATATTCTCAAGTTAGGTTGGCCTAAGAGTGAAACAAACCACTGCATACTTAGTTTGGCTGAATATCGATTTATTTTCGAGAAAATCGATAACAAMTGAATTCCGCCAAAATATTGCTTTTCAGGCTTAAAATTTCAGACGCATCTCGGAACGTCGCGTCAGAAAATAAAAGAACCTGGATTGATAAAAAGTACCAAATCTTAAAAAATAACATCAAAACATATGTTGATTGCAATTTTTGACCATTTATTTACACAATATCTAATTGAATTTATCCTACCTACTTCCAACTAGATTAAAAATTGGTCAAAAGTAACCTGGGATTTATCTATGTGCTATACAAAATAATTAACTGGAAATCTGGATTTCGGAAGGCAGAAGGTATTTCTTTTGGATCTCCAACGGATTATTTGGGGAAATGATTCGGGGCGATTTAATCAAATTTTAAAGTTGGATAAAATGCGCCAATTCGACGGTGTCGTCAATTAGTCGAAAATGTATACATACTCACGCAAACTCAATTTGTTCGTATTTTACGTCCAATCTACTGCTTATGCTCTTACCTTCCACGTTTCTGAGGATTGCAGTCCTGAAATTGTTGCAACTCCCTCACAATAGCGATATTACTTGGAAGGATAGTAAACGCCTCCTTAAGTGATTGTTCCCAAAGCGTATCTCGGGGTTTTTGATTTGAGGTTTCTCTATGCCCATTTCTTTGAAAAAGAGGCTGTAATTACCTCACGTAAAAGATCTTTGCTTAAATGTTAGTCTTTAACCGAACCACGAACCAAATGTAAGCGGAATTTTGCTAGTTCAGAAATGTGTTTCTCATGGGCGGGACAACGCTAATTAATTCAAAATGAGATCTACTGAAATCGACAACTTCGCAAAAAGAGAACATCGTAATGTGAAACACGTGGCTTCAGGAACTTTGGTCTTGTTTTAAATATACGAAACAGGAGTAAACAATCATCTAACCTCGTTCGTGATTTTAAAAATATATCATAATTAAAAGTATCATGGTATTTTTTAAATCATTGTTTTAGGTGGATAAAGCTCCTATCAGGTCAAAAAGAGCGAAGGATCTGCAAATGGCATAGTCCATCACTTCAGATGTGCCGTTACAGAAAAATACAGTGTTGGAATACTTGTTCCTTTCAAAGGAGCTGTATTAGAGTTAAAACTGGAAACCACAACCTTTACTGAAAATTTTGTATTAGCCAAAGTTCAACAGATTTATATTCACACTACGTCTTTCCCAGAGCTTATCATGCCTTGTTAAGTTACTCGTGCCGCTAGTAAGACTACGACCTAAGTAGTCCGTTCTCATATTCACATTCATCTATTACGGGCAGCGGTCCAAAAGCTCACTTCTGGTACTAAAACCATTCATTCTGCGTATCGCGAAACTCAAGAAAAGCCGCTGAGTAATCACTGCATCAGCTGATACAGCAGACTCGAGTGCGGGTCGGTATGCCTAAGGACTTAAAGTAAAATACATGTTCGCCGTACTGATATTGTTTATTTGAAACAATGGCTTTGAAAGAATCAGCCCAACTAGTAAGTTATTTGGTGCTCAGTCTTGTCGAAGAAACCAGCCAAGTAAGAAGTAATTTATCCCCCTCAAATACGGTTGGGTTCAAAGCCATCAATGAATTACGTGGTGACATATTATAAAGTGTAGATGATGCGTAAAGACACATTATAGGCCTGTTGTCTGATCAGAACAGAATTTTCACGCCCACTGCGTAAAAGCTATCATCTATATTTTGCTAGCAAAAAAAAAGGCTAACCAAACCCATGTTGTGCTTAATCTGTCCTTCCAAGTTAATTAAATTTAAGAAGTAAATGACTTCTTATGGGGGGCCGAAAAAACACTTCCCTGTTTAGCTATAGCGGACAGCAAGGTAGGTTAGTAATCCATTAGATTTGCCGACAGGGCGCGGGTCTTTTCGCAGGCAGGGAGCTCAAGGTTTGCGTTAGATATTTAGTCCATAAAGAGTATTTTGAGCTTTTCCTGTTTTTAATTATGTGCTCGTGGCTTCGTAATTAGTATATCTATATTTTGTATTCACTTTTGTAATTGACATCTGTACCTTTATCATTAGTTATTTATTTTTTGTCATTAGAACAATACTATGTTAATATGACACGTTTCTGATACTGCCTGCCTCGATTAGCTTCGCTATTTTGCAGGTAGCCTTCATTTATAAGTTAAATTGTGAGTATAAATAAAGATGTTGGTATTTTCAACCAATTCCTTCAAAATATCTATATAGGGCTGCTTCCACTTGCTGTTTATTGAAGAAACGTCTAGTTCAAGCGCGGTGCAGATCTCCCGTAGGATCCCAAGGGAAAACTTTGACAACTTGGACTGGTACTGGATTTCACAAATGTTGTATTTGTCATACCATGATAAATGATCATGATAAAATACCATGATACATTTAATTATGACACATTTAATCACAAAATGTTTCGTATATTTAAAACAAGACCTAAGTTCCTGAAGCCACGTGTTTCACAGTACAATGTTCTATTTTTGCGACGTTGTCGATTTTAGTAGATCTCATTTTGAACCAATTAGCGTTGTTCCGCCCACGAGAAGCACATTTCTGAACCAGCAAAATTCCGCTTACATTTGGTTCGTGGTTCGGTTAAAGACTAACATTTAAGCAAAGATCTTTTACGTGAAGTAATTACAGCCTCTTTTTCAACGAAATGGGAATAGAGAAACCTCAAATCAAAAACCCCGAGTTACGCTTTGTGAAAAATCATTAGTAGGAGGCGTGGACTATCCTTCCAAGTAATATCGCTATTGTGAGGGGGATGCAACAATTTCAGGACTGCAATCCTCAGAAATATGGAAGGTAAGAGCATATTATGTTAAATAAGCAGTAGATTGGAGGTAAAATGCGAATAAATTGAGTTTGCGTGAGTATGTATACATTTTCGACTTATTGACGACACCGTCGAATCGGCGCATTTTATCCAACTTTAAAATTTTATTAAATCGCCCCGAATCATTTCCCCAAATAATCCTTTGGAGATCCAAAAGAACTACCTTCCGCCTTCCGAAACCCAGATTTCCAGTTAATTATTTTTTATAGCACATAGATAAATCCCGGATACTTTTGACCTATTTTTAATCTAGTTGGAAGTGGGTCGGATAAATTCAATAAGACTGGGTAAATAAATGGTCAAAAATTGCTCAAATTGCAATCAACATGTTTTGATGTTGTTTTTCAAGATTTGGTACTTTTTATCAATCCAGGTTCTTTCATTTTGTGACCCGCTCCGAGATGCGTCTGAAATTTTAAGCCTGAAAAGCAATATTTTGGCGGAATTCATTTGTTATCGATTTTCTCGAAAATAAATCGATATTCAGCCAAACGAAGTATGCAGTGGTTTATTTCCCATTGAGACCTACTTCACTTTGAAATATGGGCGAAATCGATTTTTCAGTTGTTGGCACCAAATGTTTGACCATTGGTAACATTCGCTCTCAATAGCCAGTGTTACACACCTCAAGTCCTTACTATGAATAACTGACTCGTTCTTTGCTGTATTGCCCACTGAAGATGGTACAAATCCAGTTTGTAAAAAATACGTTCTTGCACAAGTTATTCTTCCTTTAGGTTCCACAGCAAAACAGACCTTTGAAAAATCGTTAAAGGCTGATTGTTATTGTTGTAGGTTAGAATATGTGTCTCCTATTTTGGTTTGTGTTAACAGTCTGATGAAGAAACTGACAAAGAAACACAAGGAGAGACCACAGGTAACTCAGGCTCACTGTTTGTGTCACGTACACATGGTTAAATAGAGAGAACATAAGGGGTAGCAGGGTTGGAGTAGTGGTGAGAGCGCTCGCCTTCCACCAATGTGTCCCGGGTTCGATTCCCGGACCCGGCGTCATAAGTGGATTGAGTTTGTTGGTTCTCTACTCTGCTCCGAGAGGTTTTTCTCCGGTTACTCCGGTTTTCCCCTCCCCTCAAATGCCATCATCATTTGAATTTATTTAATTTAGAGTTTATTTGCATTTACACACGACCCCACAAGCTGTTCAGCTTTAAACATTATCGTGTCTAAATAAAGGTTATTATTATTATTATTATTATTATTATTATTATTATTGTCCCCGTGGAGTGAGGGAGTCCCAGATTGCTCAAAGGTAAAACTCACCGTCCGACTACACTCCCCTCACTCCACGAGGATTATACTCGTCACCAGGTTCCCCGAGCTCAGTGCCTGTTTGAATTGGACCAGTTGTGATGCCAACGGTTTCGGGCCGCAATTTTAGTGGGTTAACGTACAAGTTTTACGGAGCCTACTGGCTTCGCGTTTCAAGCTGGAGCTGCTTTAGTGGATTAGGGTTTTAGAGTTAATCTTGTTCTACGAGCCCGGCGTGTTTATTTGGCGACTGGATTGGATTTTCGCGAAAAAAATGTGCTGGGTTGAGGGTGGATCGGTCCCCAACGCTGCCGTCAGCCTCCTACCTTACCTTATCTCTCTACTATGAAGGAAAAGTGGAGAAGAGTACTTTTCCCGAAACTTCGAGTACATATCGAGGACAACAACAAATCACCACAAGGTATGTTTCATTGATTTTTATTTCCAATTTCAAGCAAATTTCTAGACCTAAACTTCGCCCCATGTGTTCTCTATTAAACCATGTGTACGTGACACAAAGAGCGAGCCTGGGTTACCTGTGGTCCAACTAAACGTCACTTTTACAAGCAAGGGTATTCTTCCCAAATAACAATAATCTGATATCTCACCATATGTTTAGCAGTTGTACCATTAATGCCACCATTTCCAATTGCAGTGTTATTATTGAAGTTGGCATTTTTTCCACAACTGTGCATATTTTTTCTCGTGGAGTGGGCTCCCAGGAGAACAAAAGGTTGAGAGCCTTCTAAGGAACTACAGAGAGAAAACAATAAGTCAATAAGTAAATCAATAGGTTTGTTAAGGCAGCTGACCCTGTTTCAGTTTTATTGCTGCGTGAAGACATCAAAACCAATGACTAGATATTTATCAAGAAATCAAATGCAACTTCTACAGCCTGACCTGAACTATAGTTCCTCAAAACAATGTAAACTTGCCTCCTGTATATTCAAGATTTATGATTCGAAATTGGTCTTTTTTTGAAACCCTTGTGTAAATCTGTCTCTTTAGAAGCTGTGTAATTTTGTTAATGAAGACAGTTCATGTCCAAACTAGAGTATTACCTCTCATCACTGCTTCTGTCAACAATGTGTCCATGTGTAAAGTAACTCACAATGGGCTTCAAGGAAAAAAAAAAACAATGACAGTAAAAAAATTTCTCTAAATTGATTATTTCATACTATAGCATTCCCACATGTGACCAGTTGCTCTTCTCTCATTGATCTCCAGCTAAGAAGGGAAAGTGGCTGATACAAGTCGTATCATGACAACGCTGTACATGTATATCAAAGAAATAACAGCTTTAAAACTACCACTGAGTACGTAACACAAACTTGCCCTCAACTTGCTTCATTTTTAGCATACTTATTGGGCACTAAACAACCAACAGAGAGGAAAATATGAACCATAGTTCTTTCTAAGCCAGGTATGGAACTAACCTCACTCAAACTGCTTTCTGTTACTTTGAGAAGCTCAGTTGGGCTGAAAGAATTAGAGATTTCATCTTTTATTTAAAACTCTTTAAGACATTTGGATCCTGCTGTTGCAGTTGCACATTTGAATCAATAAAATTCAATTTCAACTTTCATAAATACCAGGAATTCAAAACAAGAATCAAACTGAGTCTTGTGGAAGAGTAAACCACAAGACAGTGCAAGTTTTTTATGCACATGTATCACTTCCAGGACCATCCATTTACAAAGTTACTATCAGAGTACAGTAGGAGTCATCATTCTCCATTCCCCCCACCCCCCCCCTCCATCCTTCTTTCCACCCACCACATGGTTCTCATAGAGACTGTCAGCTGGTATGATAACACCAATACTGTCTTACACACACCTTTCTGCATCCACATTTGTAAGAATGGATTTACAGTGACGTTCAAACAAAGGAAGAGTCTGTAGGAAAACAAGGAAAGTACATCCTTAGTCTTAGTAGTAACTTAATTAAATTGTGAAACTAATTTCCATTCGCTGAGTATGGAATTACAACCCTAAAGAGATTTAAAATGGTGACCACTGAACTAAAATGTACCCTGTTTAATTCTTAACCCAAGCATAATCCAGAATTGCTTTGGTTTTGCTTTACTTTGCTCTGCGATTGGTCAAGAAAATGTGTGCCACTGTTAAAACAAGTCATATCTTGGTCACTTACTTTTTCTCACACTTAGGTAGTTTTCTTTTCCTTAATTTGAATTCTTAGGTTGGCCATTGTGATTACTATTTTCTCACATAAATTACACTCAACGCAAATTCTTTAGGGAAAGAAAAAAACTCATCAAACAGTGATTCCTAAATCATTTAATTTGTGGTAGATAACTGACTACAAATAAAATTAGCCAGTGATAGTGTTTACCTCCTTGATAAGGGTTTCTACAGACACAGGGTCCAACAAACCATAAATCTGCTCTAGTTCTTGAGTGACATCACTGACCTAGCCAATGATAAATACATTAAACATGACAGATTCCATTACTACAATCAATAGAGACAGCCTTCTTCACAACATCTAACTACTACAAGGCTCATCTTTATTGAGGGGCACAACACGGACCAGATAGGGAGGGGAGGGGGAGGGGGAGTCAGAGAAGTCATAGGGTCTAAAAAGGATGCCACATCTGATCATTTCATATTTCAGAAACTGCAATTAACCCCAAAGGCCACAATAGTCAGTCCTATTGATGTAAGGTAGAGTTGAAAACTTACCATCAACAAGACAAAATGATGCAACTGTAATCAATGAAGATTGCCAATTTTCTCTTACCTTGTACTTCATAGTGAAAAATCCACCACTACAGAGATATAAAGATAATACATCAATGGTCATTGCATCATACAAGTTACTCTCTCCTAAAAAAACATGATAATACACCACATACAAATAAAGGAAATAAAAACAAACAGGGCACAGATTTGTTCCAAGGTAAACATTTAGTAAGAAGTGAGTAAAACAAAGTGGGAAAGCAAAATGTCACCAGGTGGGTAGAGTACAATGTTACCTGCCAAAACCCTCCAGAGCAAATGCTTGAATTAGGGGCCATTTCTCCAATACAAATGGGTCAAAACAAGGCTGCTGATCACCAGGGGTGGGTACTAATAAACAAAAACATGTTGTTAGCTAACTACTTACAAAGATGTCAGTTTTCAGGCTAAAATTCTAAATTTCTCTAAGAGACTTCCATTTATTCCACAGTCTGGACACCTAGTGCAAAACAATTAGAAATGATCAGCCAAGTTTCAGCAGTTTTCATCATAATTTTGCTTCTAAGATTATTTAAAGAGTCCAAGATCCAGTGTTCTTTGCAGTAAAATAAATAATTATGGCAACAATTTGTCCAGTACATGTTCAACAAAAAATTCTTAAAAGAGAAGGAGCTGACAAAACAAATGTGGTCTACATGTACAATGTTCTAAAAAATACACAGCAATACTTTTCTACATACAGTAAAAGAGTGAATACCTAGAAATAGCCTACATACCTCCATATGGTATACCAAGACAGTTACATCCCTCTACCATGGATATAAAACTTAGTATCTTGAATTCTTCAGCCTTCTCTTCATTATCTAAATACTTGACACAAATCCACATCAAATACAAAAAACATTAAGCAGTAAATCTATTTTTCAATTTTACCAACTGGCTACTCAGGGCCACAAAGTACGTGTATGATGTTTACACAAAGTTTAACTCACTGTTCAAAGGAGGATGGTATAGAGCCAGGTCTGAACAAGTCAGTGGATATTTGGCAAAACAAGTCACAACACAAACAAGCAAAGTACCAGTTCCTTGTCAAGGCAGTGTATGCGTAGATTCCTCCAATGTGCAATGTATGGCAGCAGCAGAGGATAGTTGATTGGATTACAGTACACATGTACACTCTCTGCCTTCACAACAACCACAATGTCTGCCAACAAACATAGAACAGCAAGAGGTTCATACCTGTGTACATGTATTTATGATGAATAATAAATATAGGTTTTATGGCATTCTCTCCTAACAGAGCAGAGCTACAGTGCAACACCTGTTACACCGCTCTTTCTTTAGTAAAAATGGTGCCCAATTCTCATTACCTCTAAACACTCAACAGTAAGAACCTCAGCAAGAAAAATTACAAAGCAATGGAAATTCATGACTGTATTAATTAAATGAGAACATAATATTTATAATCATGAATGCCATTGCAGTACAAATATACATTGGAAATAAAATTACCTTCTAGTTCCTCTTCTGTGATTTTACTTCCACTGTAATATTAAACACCACAACTGTTAGAATATTATTATTCTCAGACATGTCTTAATTTAATGGGTCAGCGAGAAAATATGTTCATAGGGACACAGAGAAGTAGGATAAAGAACTTCAGCCAGAATTAAAGTTTCCACATATTCAAACCAAGAGTACAAAGATCCAATTGTGTATCATTTCTCTTCAGTATGGCCATTTGGCAGTTTTTGCATTCGGAAGTGTGTCAAAAAGTTCACAAATTGAATGATAATTCATATCTCTGATTTACTGTATTTTTTTCTTACCAAAAATCAACTGGTGTGAGTTTACAAAATCCAAAGAGTAAGTAGTTAAGAAGGCTTTTGGTTCCACCATTATACCTGAAACAGTCATAATAATTGTAACAAGATCACATGACCTATACCAGTATTTTGCTCAAATGTAATTACTTAATGCTTGCAAGTTTCAGTGTTTCATCTTTCATTTCAACCATGACATCATCAAACCTGACAATACCTTAATAAGGGAAGTTCCTTACCTGCTATCGATACCTGTATATTAAGTAAAAGAGAACATAATTATTATTTAAAAACTGATTGTCAAAAACATCAAAGGTCAATTAAATTAGCTTATAATTATTTAATCATCTTTGACAGATGTTGGCACAGTGTATACACACAGTCTTGATCATTAACCATTACACTGCACTTAATGACTCTTTCACTAGTGAAAATTTTTCCAGATCTAGAAGCACAAAAACTAGCCTAGGCAAAACTGCTTAATGCTACTGCCATTAAAGGAAATTAAAGGTTAACCAAATAAGTCAGGTTTTCCTACCAGTTTGTTGGTTGTTATTCATACCCACAGGTACAAAGAGGCTCTGTGTCAGTAAAATATCATGGCCAGAATACCACACAGTTACCATGGCCAGGGGTAAAAAAAACAAAACTCAAAAATTCAGACTCAAAAGCCAAACAGTAGAGTCACCATGACCAGTTACTTAATTTTTTTTAATTACAAATCTCAATCACCATCACTTGCACACCATATGGCATATCAATGGTACTTGCACGGCCTTACAGTCAACTTGTGGGTGGCTACTAATAATTTTTTTTTGAAAAAAATCTGAAATCTTACCAAGTATACAGAGGATGCCATCTATCTTGGGTGGTTGATTTTTATCGCAACTTAACAGCTCCTGTACCTTCCGAAGCCTTGTACAACTACAAAGTATCCACAATTTAATGAAAACACATTAATTGTCGTGTGGGTCGTAGGCAACAGTCTGATAATTAGGGGATCAGTGAAATGAAGACAAACGAACAGACAAGGCACAGAATCTCGACAATCAAACACAACTATATTTCAATATGGCCATCTGATCATACAGTACTTTTCTATGTGTCTTACAAGCGCATACATTTATGACATGACTGCATAGTATGCTGAGTTAACCAATAACAAGGTTCAGATGTCCAAGTTCAGTCTATTTGACATTAATCATACTTAAGGTGATTCATCAGTATTACAATGCACATCCTGTACTAAAAATAAAAATTGTGCAATCAGGCAAATAAGAGCACATGCATTTCAGGACAAGGTATTGTTTTTCAATAAATGGACCAGGTCTTGATAATTGGATAACTATTGAGCATCTGAGAGGAATTTTCTTCAAAAGGAAATAAATGAGCATAAAAAAGTATGTCTAGCAAAAGTTTCTTGACAGTTAACTTTAGACTATAAACAAAGAATGTTAACATATTAAAACCTGCTATAGGACTGCCAATCAAAGTGTGCCAAATTAGCAACTGCAAATTTAGAGGTAAAATGTTTTCTACTTGTCTAGGCAATCACTGCCTGAAGCATAAAAGCTTTTTTTACCCTAAAAGAATCACTATAGAACCTTTTGAGAAAATTATTCAATAACAAACACAATGGAACCTTTATGACATGACAGGTATGTTTTAAAATTAAGTTGTTGAACATTCACTTTGAAGAAGGAAGACAAAAAAAAAAGGAGTTTTCAACAGTTCTTTTGGTAAAAGGTTTATTAGATATCATTTTGTGGTTCCCTCAGTGTGTGGTAGTAACCATTACTGACACCTCTCTCCAGACTACAAATTGTACTCCTTAATCAGACAAAGTTACATGGCAGCTGATAGTTACATGTAATATCTTTCCTTCCTATTCTCGCAAAAAAGTATTAAGGTAACTAGATGTAAATTGTTTTCAACAAAAATTCAAATTCTTTGTCAACAACAGGAATTATGTACTAATAGATTTCAAAAAAAGCAAAACAATCAGACAATGTTAACTATAAAGTTCTGAGAATTTATTACAAAATGATGTTTCCAACAAGAGTTCATAACAAAAATTTCCATTGCATTTTTAAAATCTTATTTAAATGAAGGTGACACTAATCTTGGACTTCTCATCTCTGGGTGACATTGTCCTATGTCATTTACATTCACAACTGCCATCAAATTAGCACCACCAAAAAAAAAAAAGAGGTGGTTTTAAGTAAGGATTTCAAATTAAAGGTAAACAAGGACAGCATGATTTATCATGCAAAAGGCTGTTGCGGACTCTTAGATTAACCTGACTATGGACTGAGCCAAACACACAATGAAGATTACTTTTTGAGGAAAGATGACCAGTGCTCCTATTGTATTAACATATTTATCAACCATTAAAAAGGGTTCCTATCTCCACTACTATGAACTTTCTCATATATGTCAACTTTTTTCAGACAAAAGAAGACAGTCAGATATCAATAACTTAGAGAAATAACGTACTTCAAAGGTGGAAATTTCAAAGTAAACACCAGGAATCATCTGGAGCCACCTGGCTATGCCGATGATTGATTTTGGTTCAGGTTAGTAACAAATTAACATAAAAGGATGCCAACTTTAAAGAAATCAGTTGAAAGAAAGCAAAGTAACAAACTTCAAGGTAATAAAATGTTTTATCACTTTAAACATCTGCTTCCCATTTACTTCTCTTTTTTCATAACTGTGACTTTATAGAGGATTCCCCTCTTGATACAAGTATTAAAACAATGAGATTTGAAATATCAAAATAATTTATGACAAAGGACACTTCAAAGGGAAGAATTTGTTAACTGGTTGTGTAGTGTTTGAACATATGGTGAAACATAAACTTCTCAATGAAACCAGACATGCCATTTAATTGATGCAAACTGATACAGTGGAACCCCTCAAAACCGGACGCCCTTGGGACTGGAGGAAATGTCCCGTTTAGACGGGTGTCCAGTGTGCTGAGGTTTTACCCATAAGGCAATTTTATGCAGCATCCTGTACTGTCTGACTGTAAGTACCAGTACATGGTACATGAGCATTAATAAAGCACATCAGTAAAGGAATTAACAACATGGACCACAAGGAAGCTTTTCAATGTCATTTTGTCTAATCTACCAAAAACTTCAGTGTTACACACAGGGTAATATGATGATTTTTAATTCATTTGTAGACTTCTTTCTTCTTTAAAATAACAACTAAAGTTGATTTATTGATCCCAAATTGACCACTTAGAGCCTTCAAGTTTAGGCGCTGATTCGGATCATTTGATCAACTCATTTCTCTTCTCTAACAATAACTCCATTCTTTGGTGTTTCGCTTCTCTCAGACATAGTGATGTTTGCTACTTCGTTTGTTTTTGTAAGTGATTTCACCCGCAACATGGCAGACCCCTTTGTTGTCATTCATTCAACCCAACAACAGTGGCACGATTGTCCACTTTAGATTTTTTGCTTCAGTACCAATAGAACAATGAGTAATTAGCTGATGTGCATTTCTCACTTCTGATTGGGATTTCACAGCTGCGTGGTTACGATTTTAATTTTACTCATGTTTTAAAACATGTGATTTGATTTTGGCAGCAAGCTTAAAACTTTCACGTCCGGTTCAACGAAGTCAATTTCTATGTCAGTTTGTGATTACGGACTGAAAAAAGCATCTGGTTTTACAGAAGTGAGGGGTTCCAGTTTATTGAGGTTAAAAATAGAGAAAATGTATTACAGAGAAAAAAAGGTCCGGTATAGAGAGGATTCCGGTTTAATGAGGGTTCAGTTTAGAGGGGTTCCGCTGTATCATATTTCTGTAGCTACATAAATTGAAACAACCACATAATCCTGCAAGAATTAGAAGCTGCTAGTTGTCCAAAAGTGGGAAAATTGTTCCTTAATGACATAAACAATTATGGGGAATAACTTACTAATTTAAAAAGCACTTGCTTCAAAACTTTATTTTTTAGCATAAGTTTGACAGACATTGTTTCACTGAAAGAAACGAAATCTGAATCAACAGAAAAAAGGTAGAAAGTCTGGATAAACTTACACACAGGGTAATATGATGATTTTTAATTCATTTGTAGACTTCTTTCTTCTTTAAAATAACACATAAAGTTGATTTATTGATCCCAAATTTACCACTTAGAGCCTTCAAGTTTAGGCGCTGATTCCGAACATTTGATCAACTCAATTCTCTTCTCTAACAATAACTTCATTCTTTGGTGTTTCGCTTCTCTCAGACATAGTGATGTTTGCTACTTGGTTTGTTTTTGTACGTGATTTCACCCGCAACATGGCAAACCCCTTTGTTGTCATTCATTCAACCCAACAACAGTGGCACGACTGCTGATGCGCATTTCTCACTTCTGAATGGGATTTCACTGCTGCATGGTTATGATTTTAATTTTAATCACGTTTTAAAACGTGTGATTTGATTTTGGCAGCAAGCTTAAAACTTTCATGTCCGGTTTAACAAAGTCAATTTCTTTGCTATTCAGGAGTTTAAATATCAAGCAGCTAATCGACCAGCCCACAAGGATTACTAAAAACTCTAAGTCACTTATTGATTTAGTCGCTGTCAGTTGCCCGCAAAATGTGTGTGAGTCGGGGGTAGTTTCCACTCATTTAAGTGACCATGAACTGGTTTATTGTGTGCGTAAATTAAACTGGAAAAGAGCACCTTCCCAAGTCAAGACCTTCCGAAATTATGCGCATTTCAATGTTGACGCTTTTCGCAAAGAAGAC